CCGGGGGGCGCCCCCGCGGGCCCCGGGGGGGGGGGGGGGGGGGGCTTCCTCTTCGCCGGGGGGGGGGGGGGTGTACTCATAGTCGTGCATGCCGTAGTCGTTTGACCATTGACCTCGCATCCCTACAAAGCCGGGACGGAGCACGCCGGGTTCTCACCGGACCAGGCTCTCACATCACCAAGCGCGAAGCGCCGTGAGGTATTTGGCGAGTCGCATGAAGGGTGAGCTGCATCCTGCTAAGGGTGTTCGGCATCTTGTGCTTACCTCCTTGCGTACGGATGACAGCTACGTATGACTTAATTTACTTTCTGGTGCTTTTACTTCCAGAGACAGTTGTAAGCACTGTGTAACTGCCTCGAGGAAGCTTGACCATTTTAACACAACGTGGTGCGATCATCCCCCGTTGCGCGGAGTGAGGTTTCTCCACCCCGCACAACATGATCTACTCGACCACCATTATGGTTACCGCAAAAAAAAGAAAACCGAGGTAAAAAAAAAAACGGTAACCTGGTTGCCGAGTTCACGAAGTGAATTGGCTTGTTTTACAACGTCGTTGCCAAGCGACGAAAACCCAATCCCGATGGCAAACACCGAGTGGGGGGCTTGTTTTACAACGTCGTTGCCAAGCGACGAAAACCCAAACCCCGATGGCAAACCCCGGGGGGGGGGGTGGGGGGGGCGTTTTGCGTTCCTTTGCTTCGAGTTGGTTAAGCGGTTGAACAAACCGTTGCCTCAAAGTAGCAGCTGTGTCTACTCTGCGTTGGCTCTGATGCCGCGCAATGGCGTCTGGCGGCTTGCTGCGGCTCCCGGTGCTGGCGCTCTCGCTGCATTACCGTTTCATTTTTTTTTGTTTTCGCTGACTCTGCCCCTCTTTCCTCGCCGCCGCCGGCGGTTCGGCCCTCGCGCAACGCGTGACCGCGACGAAGCAGGCGTTTGTGAAGCAGGAAGACGTGTTCTACAGCCAGCTCACGGTTAGGGAGACCCTCCTCATGGCGGCGCGCCTCCGCCTCCCGAGCTCCGTGCCCCTCGAGGAGAAGTCCGCCATGGTGGACAAGCTCATCAGCAAGCTCGGCCTGTCTAAGGTTCGTAGTACAGAATCGACCGTGCTTAAGAACTTGGTGGTTAAGGAACGTGAGCCTAATAGTTTCCAAAAAAAGTTCAAGAGCTTGACCACACGAACAGGTGCGTGCTCAGTCTCAAGTAGCCTACACCACAGCCTTTGTAGTCGCCGTGGGGATAGTCTACCCCATAGACAAAACAAGAAACGAGCCTCGGGCCAAAATAAGAGATTCTTGAGTGCGGGCTTTTACTGTATATTGTGAGGAGGTCCTGGGTCGGTAGGGGGGATGTGTTCCGTTCATCTGCGCTATTTTCGAGTGAAGAGACCGGTGGTTTCTCAGGGGGGACAAAAAATGTGTGTGTGAGAGAGAAAAACGCGGGCGTTCCTCCAGTAGCATCGACGTCGACGATATCTGGCTGACGAGTGAAATATCATTGTTCTGGGTGTCAGCGCTTGCGCGCGCGCGCGCGTGTGTTTGTGATGCTACCTCGTGTGTTTTACTTTTTTCTTTTGCCCGCCAGAACGCCCTCTTGCGGGTGGTTTAAAAAGAAAAAAAATGGTTCCTGTCTCCAGGTGGCCTCTACGATCGTCGGGGATGAGAAGACGAGGGGCATCTCGGGGGGAGAGAAGAAGCGCCTCTCCATGGGCTGCCAGCTCTTTGGAACCCCCTCGCTCATCTTCTGCGACGAGCCCACGACCGGCCTGGATGCCTTCCAGGCTAGTGCTGTTGCTTTTTTGTTTTTAAGGAAAACTCATCAAATTCATCTCGTCCACAATTATTGAGTCCGGGACAGATTGGCGATGAATTCAAAAGTGGTCTTTGATGACCAACTTGTATTTGTGCGGTTCACCGAGCAGCATGTAGCGATATCTTCCCTGAGGGAAGCAGGATCAACAAGACAATTCGGTGGCCTACTTGCTGTTTCGTTGACCTTGGTGCCTCTTTCTTTCCTGCCGGAGAAAAGCACGACCAGCTCCGTCCGCCTTTCGCACGTGTGCGATGCGCAGAGAGAGGATTAACATTTCCTCGATATTGCTGCTGTGCTTCTGCGCTTCTGATGATACTTGCCGTATATTTCAGGCGGAGCGGGTCATGGCCACCCTCCGGCAGCTGGCCCAGGACGGACACACGGTGATCTGCTCGATCCACCAGCCCAGGAGTTCTATATTCGGGATGTTCGACGACGTCCTGTTGCTCAGCGAGGGCCGGGTCATGTTCCAGGGGCCCGCGAAGCGGATCGGGTCGTACTTCCGGTCGAAGGGGTACCCCATGCCGTCCAACACAAACCCCGGGGACTTCGCTGTCGACGTGGTTTCGGTGGATTACACGTCTAAGGTATGTTTCGCTCCCCCCGCCCTCCGCCCGAGCGCGTCCTTCATGTCGGCGCTTCGCGCTTGGTGATGTGAGAGCCTGGTCCGGTGAGAACCCGGCTTGCTCCGTCCTGGCTTTGTGGGGATGCGAGGTCAACGGTCTAACGACTACGGCATGCGCGACTATGAGTACACGCCCCCCCCCCCCCTCCGCTTGGCAAGGCCCGCATGTGGAGCACCTAAGTGATGCTTGCGGCATCGTTGGGGTGCTGCGGCCAGTCAGTTGTCGTAACTTTGCTGCAACTGCAGAATTTTGGCTTGCTCTGCTTCGGTCCTAGGCTGTTTGACACCCCCTCTTCTGGAGACACTTCTTTCGCGGGGGCCCCGTTCGCATCTCTGTGGTGCTCTTTCTGCCCCCCCCGCCCCCCCCCCCGGTCCATGGAATGGTGCACTACATCGTTGGTTCTCGCGTTGTGTCTGTCGTTGTTGGGGGGCTTGGTCTTGTAGAACCATGGTGGGAAGTCGACAGTGGCTGTTCGTGCGCGAGGACTCTGGCGCCTCTCTCTTGAGCGGACTGTTGCGGCAAGCCACAGACAGACGGGCGCGCCGACGCCGTTTTTGCCATTTCTCGACATGTGCCCTCGGACAACCCCCTGACTTGAGCGCCCCATGCTCTGCCCTCGCCCGTCTCCCTGCCGTCATTCTTTCTTGCTCTTCCGGAGGGTAGAAGACCGAAAGGAGGACCAAGGAGCGCATCGCCCGCTTTGACGCCGAGCACCGTGCTTCCGCACCCACGTCCTCTTCGTCGTCATCGTCATCGTCATCGTCGTCTCTGCTGAGCTACTTCGTCTCCCACTGGGAGAAGACCGGAGGGGAAGCAACGGAGGACGAGGACGAAGAGGACGAAGGGGAGAAGAAGGAGAAGAAGAAGGAGAAGGAGAAGGAGGAGGTGACAGAGGTGACAGAGGTGGCGGAAACAGCGGCGGCGGCAGCCGCGACGGTGGTGAAGGGAGGGGCGACGTCGTCGAAAGCGGCGGCGCAGCGCCGGGGGAAGGCCGCGCAGCGCAAGGGGAAGGCGGCGGCTAAGCGAGGGAGCAAGGCAGCAGCGAAGAAGGGGAGCAAGGCGGTGCGGCGCCGGGGCGGCGACGGGGAGCAGAGGGCCGGCGCGATGGAGCAGTTCCGGCTGCTGCTGGCGAGGTCTTGGAGGCAAGTCAACCGTGCCAAGTTCGCCAACGCCACCCGGGTGAGGAGGGAGGGCGGACGAGGGCAAGAAGCGATAGATACTTGAGAGTTTTTTTTTGGGGCCTTTTGCAGGGTGCGCCTCTCTGTGTCGCCTGCTGTTGTGTGCGCGAGCGAGAGGGATACAAGGTAGAGACGAGTGGGCGGAAGAGGAGAGTTGTGACGGGCTTGGTTGCGGGTCGGGGTTGTTGACACCATGCAGCTGAGGAACGAACGAGCTGTTGCGAGAGAGAGAGAGAGAGAGAGAGAGAGAGAGAGACGACTGAATGGGTTGTGCCATACAACCATCTAGAGTTTCACAACCACGGTTCGTTCATCAACGCGATATGCTTCAGAAAAAAGTCGGAAACACCAAATGATATGGATACGATTCAGTAGCGGTGATGACCGACCAACGCCGACGTCTTTGATTTCCCTCTTCTCCGCACCAGGCCCTATCAACCCCCACCTGTTTTCTTCGTCTTCGACCAGCGCCAGTCTCGCCAACCTCCTATCGTCGTTGCATTTCATTCTTGGAACTCGCAAGCCCTTAATTCATACTCAGAAAGTTATCCGCGATCACTGAAAGACTACCCGTTCGACGTAACATCACAGTCGAAGGAGGTGTTGCGGAAGTCTTTTCAGTGAGTGGGGGAGAAAACCCTCCCTTTGCTTTTTTTTTAAAGAGTTTCTGGTCGAAAAACGGTCATGTGGGTGTAGACGGTGGCCGTGACGGTTTTCCGACGAAAAACCCAACCACTTCCGGTTGAACCTTTTTTCAGCGTTTTGTTTCTATTTTTGCCCGGTTTTGCTTGTCGACCTGCGGGCAACTGTAACACGACGTGCCGATAAAAAAGGTGGTCGCCAACCTCGGGTCCGCGGTGGTGTTCGGCAGCATCTTCTGGAAGCTCGGCATGGGGCAGTCGCACATCAACGACCGCATCGGCTTGCTGCAGGTGGGGTTGTCGTTGGAGCTCTATGAGAAGGACGTCGAGTGGCTTCGCAGCTTCGCAGGCATGAATGATGTGGCGTCGGATGTGTGTGTACACGATCTTTTGCGGTTTAGGCGTGTGTGTTCGTTTTCGCTCTCGAAGACGGGGCTGTCGTCCTCAGCCTCTCGCCACTGGAGACGATGGATGCTGCCCCCTCTAATCCATTCCTGAACCCCCCCCCCCTCCCTCACCTCCGTGGCGTAGCCTGAGCCTTGTCTCGAGTTGAATCTGACACATGCGTAGTCGGAACGCGCCTGGAGAGCGAGTAAGATGGCCATGTACCCGCTATTCTGCAGGGCGACGATGCTTTTCTGAAGTCCTCCCTCTCCCGCGGACTCTCGGCGATCCTGTAGTTCTGCAGGCGTGCTTAGGGTAGGTGATGCAAGATACCACACCCCCGGGACCGAATCCTAAAGCGAGATACTCCAGAGGGGCGGTGACGAAAAATTCCATCATTGGAACCGTCTTGTCGAGAGCGTATCGAAAACGTGTTGTTTGCTGCACATATCTTCTTCGTCGTTTGAGAATTCGAGCATTGAACATCGGTCCAGGGGGTGTGATATCTTACGTCACCTTCGGTACATAGGCGCCTGCCGCCTGCTTTCTTGTGCGGCGCGGCGCAAAAACAATCACTTCTTTCTTCTACCGTTTCACTCTGTCTCAAATTGGCCTGTCGGGATGTCGTACTGACGAACAGGCAACAACTGAGCATACACATACCCCCCCCCCCTCGCGTCACGCGATTTTCGTTTCTTTTTTTTTGTTACGGACCAGACGTCTGTGATCCAGACGGCGATGTCCACCGTCGCCAAGACTCTCGTCACCTTCCCGAAAGAGGCAACGATTGTCAAGGTACAATAGGTGCCCTTTAAGAGGTAAACGGCTGGTAGGGCTGGTGCGGCTTGATGCCGTGTGCGGCATATCACGCCCCGCAGACAGACAGACAGACAGGCAGACAGACAGACAAGTTTTTTGTTTGTTCGATGCGCCACAGCAGTATGGAGCACCGTGGATGTTTTGGTATGGCTTCCTGGCGGAAGACGGGGCGTCGGGCTTTTGTACCCTCGCTTTTTCTTGCTCGTGTGCTAAGTTGGGATGTCGTTAAGGCGAGACTGATCGAGCGTGTTGGGCAGACATAGCATCAGTAGACGATCAACAACAAATCACCTTTGCATGCCGAGCTGATTGACAAAGCCTTGGCGCGTGCACAGTCAGTGTGCCTGCCGTACCGAATGCTGTCCCAACACCCAATCCTTTACTCCAAGCCCTCTCCCCCCCAACCCTTCGCTGTTGGGTCGGTTCTGGCTGCTGATTGGTCGACCCCTGATCGGGATCATCCCCCGAGACAGGCGGAGCGAAGCTTGAACATGTACAGCGTCCTGCCCTACTTCCTGGCCAAGATGATCGCCGACCTTCCCCTGACGGCCCTCTTCCCCACCGTCTCGGGGGCGGTGATGTACAAGATGACCGGCCTGCACCCGAAGCGCGACAGGTAGAAGGGGCCATTTCGGCATCATCATATGACGTGAGCCCGACGCTGTAGGCGAAAAAAAGGGCGCGTAGTGTCTGTGTTACGTATACAACAGGGTGTATGTATGGTGGTATGTGCTCGACTGGCTGAAGGGGCATGACGTTCCGATGCATTGCGATAAAGTTGTTGAACTCCCCCATAAAATGAGTTACGGTGTTGTGCTGCGGCAACACGGTCGGAAAGATGATGCAGATCAAGCGAGAAATGTTTTGATTTACGCTGGTACTCATAGCGCTAGCGTTCGCGCTCTGCATTACCACATTCGATCGCGGCCATCACACCGTGATGCCCTGTGGTCGTCGTCCCATATTTTCTGAACGCCAGATGCACGTGTTTTTTTTTTAGTTTATGGACTCAGACGCGCCGGCGCGAAAACTAGGACTATGCGGCGAACAAAACGTTGTTACACATATTTTAACAAAAAAAAACGAACGAAACGTTGGTGGCCAACCTGTTCTTGCTATCTGGCACCCGCTTGTCGCTCCTTTGATGGGATCGTGATCGGCAGGCTGGCGAAGTTTCTGGGAGTTCTCACCCTCGAAGCGTTTACCGCGGCGGCGTTCGGGATGTTGGTCGGCTGCGTGGCCAAGGACGGCGACGCCGCCAATGCTATCGGCCCCCCGCTCATGACCATCTTCATTCTCTTCTCAGGTGCAACGCGTGTGTTTTTGTTGTTCTTGCTGCCGCTGCGGGTGTAGCTGTGCTTGTCGGAAGACGGTGGGTTGCCTCTTGTCTATCCGCTTGCGGCCGCGAGGTTCTCTTTCAGTGCTTGCGCGGAGGCGTGGAGGGATGCGCGGTGCCCTGCTTCTGCGTTCAAGATCCGCCCTTTCTTTCTCAGGTTGTT